GAGAGTTTGTGTATAGATCTATACGGGAATGACTCCCCCACACCTGCGCTGTTCGCTACAGTTAAACTAGGCCAGTCTAGGGTGACAAAACCTTGATCGAAAATCCGGCGTTTGGAAAAATGCCAAGACAGGCAAATCAGTCACTATCATGTATGGTTATAACGACTCATATAGATATCCATTCCCATTAAGACATTACGGAAAAATTAAAAACTCGTAAGTCGTAATGATACAAAACATTTCTACAGTGCAAAGACCGTGACATTTTTATAAATAAGAAAATATCGGATTTTCTGGGGAAATACTATTATTCAAATACCACTTACTTACAACAGAAAGAATACAAAGAAATTTGAACTGCATTCTTATATGTTACTACTATGAAATTCACACATGCATTATACTCGATTTTCACATCATTTTTGAGACTTTTTACAGAAAATATCGGATTTTCTGGGTTTTACAAACAATACAAAGACTTTTATTCAAACATGCTTATGAACTCACCAACATTATATATGTTGACCATTTTTAAAATAACTTGTATTCTCAGGTAATCGTTAAGCATAAGGACTTTCAAGTGTGTATGGATTTATTTTATGTAATATCACTCATCGTACTATTAATGCTTTGGATTTATGTAATCTATGACAATGTACTTTATGTGAACAATACCAGTTGTAATATGTAATGTTTTGGCGATGAATGTGTTATGTTTTATGTATATTCATTGTGATGATATTTCAATTGATAGTCACACGAGCCCTCGGACATTTCCGACGTCTGGTTCGGGGGTGTGACAGGCACCGATCGATAACTGCTTCCTTCGAACCAACTGCCGCCTCTTCATCCCGTCGATTGAACCACCCACCTCTCTTCCTTTCACACACTATGCCGGAACCGGAAGAGAAGCAGTCGAGAGTTGCTTGATTGTTAAAGGTCGATGTTTTCTGTCTAGGGTTTTAAAGCGGTAAATGTAAACGTTTTTGCCTAAATTAAAGGGTTTATGACTTGAATAATTAATTACCAAAACTAATTAAAATCTAAGATTACAATTTTACCCCTATCTAGGTTTTTAAAATGATTGGTCCACATTTATGCATAAAATAACACAAAAATTACTTTAAACACCTGAACCTATCTCTCTCTCTCTCTCTCTATATATATATATATATATATATATATATATATATATATCATATTTATTATCCATCATCATCTTCAACCATTAATTACTACAATGGTTAAACATTAACTGTAATTATTGTCTATGTTATCATATTATTCTAAATAATGATAATGTTTTACATCAACATTTTAATTTAGTTTAAAAAAATTCTTATTTTAGAGTTAATGACATTGACTTATATATTTTTAACGAAATATATTTGTTATAATTTTGACTATGTAACTATATGCATACGCAATGCACGAGGATTCGTCATATATATATATATATATATATATATATATATATATATATATATATA